AAAGGCTAAACGTTATTCTAATAGTAATAATATCATTATAAAAGTTCCTGGGCTTATACGTACCTCCTTATAGTAAATAAATAACTATAAAGTAAAATACTTTATTTAACGTAAAACGCGGACTACTTCGCGCATTATATAGCGGCGCCGATAGCGATCGGTATCTTTTAGATCCTAATAGCGTAATAAGAACTCTATAGACTAAAGGTTAAGGGTTCGAAAAAGCTATAAGGTAGTCGCTATTAGAAAAGAATAAAGCGTACGCGATATTAAAGTCCTTGATAAACTTATTCGAAAGTATACTCTATTAAAGACTATAATACGTACGATGGTCTAAAATAAATAAAACTAGTATTACTATATTAATCGAGAGACGAAGAATCCAATATAATTATTATATCTTAGGTATACCCCCTTAATCGTAAAGATATAATAGTCGTTAGCCCGTAGGTATAAGAACTAAGGAAAGAAAAGGAACTAAACGTAAAAGTTATTTATTCGGCTATAGCGGTACGAGGAAGTAATTTAAGCGTCTATAATTAAGATAGATATACTAATCGGAGAACGACGAATTTAATAATAAAAACGAATCTTTAATTAACGTAAAAATAATGAAGATAGTAATCTAGCTAAGTAATAAACTTAATAATAAGTATGGTATAGCCCGTACTTACGAGAGCTATAGTTACTCTATATAGGTATAAGGCCTATCATAGCGTGTCATGTGATGTATCAAGAGGGCATGTCTTACCGTACCACTACACTAGCTGCCGTTTTTAGCTAGCCGATCAATTGATTACAGCTATTTATAGCTATAATCTAGATTAATCGACATAAGGCTAGTTATTGGCAGTTAGGTAGCCGTTTTCGTGCCTCTATCACAGCGTGCCTGCACTGCTCCTATTCAGTAGTTAAAGGCGTATAACGCCGTTAACTAGAGGGTATATTATATAGAAATTATACATTAGGTTGCTCTTCTTCGTTACCTACCTTAGTAATAAGAGCTTTTATATATACGTTCTTATTACTTCTATTCCTTTAGCTAGTTCTTAGATAGAATAAGACCTTTTTCCTTCCTTTTACTCCTCTCGTTACTTGTAAGATAGCTCCTCGCACGCGCTCTCGCATACGTAGCTTCTTTGTCTAGCTATGTAACAAATTCTAAAATAAGAAGCTTTTTATATAGCTCGTTTTATAAGTACCATATGTTACATGGTAACAGGCTACCCCCCTACGAGGCCATCTGTCTCTAATTAAAAAACGCTAAAACTAACTTATTCTAATTATATCGTTACTCTTTAACTTTGAAGCTATTTAAGAATACTATAAATCTAGTTTATATAAGTCTTTACTTTTAATTATGCGTTTTCCTAGTTTTAATTAGCCGTATATTAAGGTACATATTATAGGCTAAAACTAGCAGTAAATATAAATATATAGCTATAAAGTATTACTTGATTAATAGAAATAAATACTAATTAAACCTCTATTCAATAAACTTCTTTTGCTATAAAATCTCTTTAGAAGGATCTTCTCACGTTTATTATATAATTTATTATTTAGAAAGGCGTTTCGATATATCGTTTAGCTATTATATATAGCGTTTTATAAACTACGCTAGCTGTTAAGCTTTAGGATAGGTAAGCGTAATTGAAGGTATAATTATAATAACGCTTAATAAATAGGTAAGAGGAATATTAAGGAGGAGCAGAGCGTACGCGATACTAGAGACCCGGATATGTTTACTCGAAAGTGCACTTTATCGAAGACTATAGCACGTACGATGATCCAAAACGGATGAAACTAATATCGCTATATTAATCGAGAGGCAAGGAATCTAATGTAGTTATCGTATCTTAGCTATACCCCTTAGTCGTAGAGATATAGTAGTCGCTAGCCCGAAGGTATAAGAGATAAGAAAAGAAAAGGAATAAAACGTAAAAGTTACTTATTCGGCTATAGCGGTACGACGAAGTAACTTAAGCGCCTATAACTAAGATAAATATATTAATCGGAGAACGACGAATCTAATAGCAAAAACGAATCTTTAATTAAGGCAAAAATAACAAAGATAGCAATCTAGCTAGGTCGTAAACTAGATAATAAGCATAGCATATCCCGTACTTACGGGAGCTATGGTTACTCTATATAGGCATAAGGCCTATCGTAGCGTGTCACGTGATGTATCAAGAGGGCATGTCTTACCGCACCACTACAATATCTTATGATATAAACTTTACGTTAAGAAGAGCTAGGATTGATTTTTAATTATAGCATTATTTGCTGAATTACGTAAGATATCTTAAACGCGAACAGCGATTTATAGCTTTTTAATAAAAAATAACTTTATAACTTTTTAAAGCCTAATTTCTTAATTACGTTAAAGTCCGGGCGTAAAACTAAAGCTTCTCGCTTTAACTACTTTAATAAAAGAATTATAAATTAGTATTTCAATGTCCTGAAAGCCGAATACGGCTGGATATAACCTTATCTTACCTTTAACGTCGATAAGGAAGGAATTATATTTAGTTAATGTAAGTACCCTCTTCTATTATTATCTTTCCGTTTTCCGTATTATCTAAGGTATTAAAGCTCGATGGCTTAATTCTGGAGAGTTTAAATATTAAAAAAGCGATTGTTAAAAACTTTTAGATTAGAACCTAAGCTTTGTTTATCGGGTATATTAACGCTATGGGCCTTACTTTTGACCGGGTATTATCTTTAAAGAAAAGGAGCTCAAAATTACTTAGTTTATAGATTAATTTATAAATATTGCCGATTAATACTTTATGACTTTAAATAACAGCTAGTCAGATAACTACATTGCATTAAAGTAGCTAAAGGAGGTATTTATTAATATAACGGATAGTTTTCTTTTCTATGAATTCAACGCCTATTTATTAGTTTCAAACGACTATAAAAGCTATATTATTATTAATCTATCTATTTCTTAATTGATTAACGTTAATTCCGTACTTTTAAGAAGGTTTTTCCTTTAAAAAAAGTGCGTATTATTAACGTATTACGATCTTGAGATAAGTCTATAGCTACTTATTTTCGATATAATATTAACTTCTATTTCTTATCAACATATATCTTTAACGACTTATAACCACTTCATAACAGCTTATTTAACGCTTTTAAAATAGTCTATAGAAAGTATTTAAGTTAATTATATTTCCTAATAAATACCGTACTGAGTAATAAGTTAATCCTTTCATGTTATTTATACGTGGTAAAAATCAACGCCTTTACTAAAAAGATTATTTATACTGATTTTTGGGTAATTAAAAATTAATTAATAAGCTATTATTCTATCCGGAGGACAGTTATAATACGTCAAACCCCTTGTTATGTTAATTAATTACGGGGTTAAATACCCCTATAAATACCTCTGTAAATGCGGCATCATTTAGGGAATACTTTATTTTTATTAGCTGAAAGTTCGTATACGCCGCTTTAATTAGTTGAAAGTTCGTACAGCCTATTTAAAAGAAATGCATCTAATAAAACCGTAGCATACCCGTCTATTACTATTTATTCATTAACGCGTGGATTTCCTATCTATTTTAATCCTATTTATATATAGATTAATCTGGGTTAGTTTCTCCCTATTTAATCTAGGTCAGTTTCTCTCTATTCAATCCAGGTCAGTTTCTCCTTATTCAATCAAGAATCGATTACTAATCAATACCTTTTCGCAGTTTAAACGTCGATTCCTACTTACCTCTTTTTCCGTAGCCTTCGGAGAGGTTCTAGGTTTTCGGTACGAACACTTAGAGAAGCACAGAGTGCTTCAACGTATTTTAATAAATAATTTAATATAAATTAAAAATTTGCTATATATAATTTCTTATGTTTTTTTAAGAGTTTTTCTATAATAAATAAAATTAGTAAACGTAAAAGTCGTTATTAAATAAACTAAGTATACTTTTCATATCTCTCTATCCTTCAAATAAGTTAGTATTTTTAGCATAAACATTAAAAATAAGTCTAAGCTATTCTACTTCGCAGAATAATTCATGTATTCTTTTAATTTCGCCTTTTTTCTTATTGTTAATTATTAAATTATTATCTCAAGCCTCGGACGGCTATTTTCTTAATTAGTATTTACATAACAATTCTCTAGCTATTTACCTTCTCTAACTTAGCTTGCTTTTTTGTGCTCAGCAGATACGTTCGCCCTTAAGCCTTATTAAGCCCCCTGCAACTCATTCGTCATTATGTGCAGCCTGTTGGCGTAGGGATATCTGCTTCCCTTATACCCACCGTACGTGCAGTTCGTATGCTGTTAGAACTCGCCTCAACTTACCTTGATGTCTGCCTCCTACCCGATCCTGCCTCCTAATTGAGACCCTGTTTATATTCTGTGACCAGCGCCTTTCTGCCTATAGCCAGCAAAGTGAGCTGTGGCTATGACAGGTTGAACCGCGTGCGTGCGTCTGCGCACTTCAGCTCCACCTACCTACGTCGTCGCCTCTAACCCCCTCAACAGAACAACGATTAGGACTCGTCTGGCCCGGCATTTACTGCTTGATTCCGAGCCGCGCCTCGGAGAGGAACTCTATCAATCCCCAGGCCTACCTCCAAGTCACACTTGGGCCGGTTCGCTGTGCTTCGGCTCCAGGACTGTTGGATCCTTGTTCGGATCGGCGCCTACGCATCATTGTTGATTCAGCCTCACCTCCACCAATTTCGTGGGGAGGTATCTCCTACCCGAGTTCTTTGTCATTGCCCTACTTTCCATTCCCCGTCCACTATTTTAACTACCCTCTTGACAGACGTCGATTTGTTTGGTATAGCCTAGCTTTCTTTCCTCTCGTTCCGCCCTCTGTTTGTTTTTTCGTCTCCTTATTCTTCTCATCATAACTCTTCTTTTTCATCCTCCGTCCTTCGCCTCTTCCTTTTCGTGGCTGTTGAATGTGAATTTACTGTCCTTAGATGAGAGACGCTACGCCGCCCCCTATTTCCACCTCGGGATGCAACGGCAGGTAGATAACATGTCGTCCAGCTCGTCAGGAAAGGCGCCTAGGGTGCTTGCTTGCGTAAGTCGCTATACCGCCACCTGTCAGCTCTTGAAAGGCCTTCATTCTCACCTACAAGTCCCTACACAGGTCTTATGTCAGAGTAGAAAGATCAAATGTGACCGCAAAACCCCTTGCTCCAACTGCATTAAAGTGAGTTCCCTAATCCGAAGTCTCTATCTAGGTCGCCCTAACACTACAGCCCCTAAGGCCAATTCTACATGCACACCCAGCACACCGGCGCCTGCGCGGAAGAGGAGGCGGCCTAACCAGGATTTGCAGCAAAGGCTTGCTCGGTGTGAAAAATTGCTATCAGAGTATGCCACTGCAAAGCCCTCGGCTCCGTCCTCTACGGAGTCTCCAGGCCGGGATCAGAATTGGATGCCTACAGGAAAACTCATAGTTGATGACGGCGGCGTTAAGTTTGTAGACAGCTTCTTATGGGGAAGTATTCATGGCGAAGTAAGTCGTGTCTCTCATCCCCTGCCTTCCCCCTGGGCCGCTTTCGATTTTTATGCAGTTGCGCTTGGCAAACCTTTGGATTCTAATTGTCCCCAGCTAGCTGCGATGCGTGAAATACTAGAAGATGACGAAAACGCAGATGACCCGTGTACTCCGGCGGACTCGCAATCGCCGGATCCCAATACAGGCCTGATCCTGTCGGATACGTCTGATGCTAATCTGGAAGATCTGCACCCTATGCCGGCACATGTATTTTACCTGTGGCATATTTTTCTTGAAAGGGTCAACCCGTTGACTAAAGTGATACACGTACCCACAGTCCAGCCGCTTCTCGTTGAAGCTGCCACCAGTAGAGCCAACGTACCTAAGAACATCGAGGCGCTATTGTTCTCCATATATTCTATGGCTGTTGTGGCATTAGCGGAGGAAGAATGTGTAGAACGGTTTGGTTCAACGAAAGAAGAGGCTTACAGCCGATTTTCCAGCGGCTGTCGTGTTGCCCTCATGCGTATCGGCATCCTCAAGAATTACGACATGGTGGTGTTGCAAGCGCTGGTGATATATTTGGTACGCATGAAGGAGTACCCTACAGCAGCAGAGTCTGACTGACATGGCCCTCTTAGTTGTCTCTACCGGGTCGCTACGACCGTCATGCAGCATGGATTCTCAACGGCGTGACGGTGAGAATCGCGCAGAAGATGGGGCTTCATAGGGACGGCGACTTTCTCGGGCTCTCGCCTTTCGAGACAGAGATTCGGCGGCGGGTCTGGTGGCGTATCGTATTGCTCGATGCCATGTATGCCCTGATGTCTGGTCTAGGGCAGTCCCTCCTCCCGCGCTTGTGGGATACGAAGGAACCCCTGAACATTGATGACTCCGATCTCTACCCTTCCATGACGACAATTCGGCCTAAAGATAGCCCGACGGAGATGGTATTCTGTTTGATATGCTGCGAGGTGGCCAAGACCATGGTTGACACGCCAGAACTACACGCAGTCATCCTACAGAATGAGATGGGCTCGGAGACCACGGTACCCGAGAAAATCGAAAGAGCCAAAAACCGTGTTGACGAGTTAGACAAGGCCATCTCAGATATCCTCAGCAAATACAGCGACCTCTCGATGGGGCCCGTCCACATACTAGCTGCCGAGACTCAGTCGATTATGGTTGCTAAGCTGCGAGAACTGATTTGCCCGATGAGGGAACAACCAGAGTGGGGTACCGAAATTTTCACCCCAAAGGATCATTTATTCAAGCTGTCCCTCACAGCGGGGGAGCACATTTTGAAGATGTACCAGTTTTCCAAGACAGGAGGCGCCTTCCTATGGTTTGGTAAGTTTCCGTCTTCCAGGCAATACCCAACTAATGGGCATATAGTGAGGTCTCATTTCCAAATCGAAGTCTTCGTGTATATGGTGGGCCAGCTTAGCTGGCGCACGTCCGGACAGTTGGTAGAGAGGGCGTGGGCCGTTACCGAAGTCTCCTACGGGTACTATTCGGAACTGTACGATCTCTCGGTGAAGGGCCATACGACAGCCGCCATCTTGACGGTCCGTGCTTGGGAGGTTCGTGAAAACGTGCTGCGGGAGGCTACGGGAACCACTCCAGAACGGCCGGGCTACATACTCAAGCTTCAGAGTCTGCTACCACCTGATGAGGCCAAGCAAGCGCACGCCGACCTTCTGCCTGACTTGAAACACCTGAATGTCGGCACGGCAGAACCCACACAAGCAAGCGTCGATGTGAGTTGGGATCAAATGCTAGGGTTTATCGATGCAGGGTCCATCGAGTGGGGAGACATGTTTGGGCAAGCGCAGACGAATTACGGAGGCTTTGGAATGGCGTTTGGTGGCAATGGGCTCGGGTGGATGTAAAACAATCCCCCCCTTGCGGACTTTCAAAAACTCGGTCATCGCTACTCAGGCTATGCAGGATTTTATCCCACTCTGTCTTCACGTGATGGCTTGCCTGCTTTGTGCCGTACGACGGACGCGTTGCGGCTCGGTAGAAAGGACTGCGTGGAAGAAGAAATCCCTGTGGCCGAATTAGTGGGTAGCTGGCCTACTTGTAGCACGCGTTAAGCAGGCCACTGAGGTTGCGGAAGATCTGATATACTAATGTCCTCAAGCCTGGATCTAGAGTGTCGAGTCTGTCGTTTTCTGTGTGCTCGTGGAAGTGCTATTTAACGACGACAAGCCGACGGAGGCCCCCCCCCCCTATTGTGTATGTGCGTTCCGTCAGGATGAGTCTTGCCCCGAGGGCCTCCCCCCTCGCATTGTCCTCAAGCACGTACCTACTTCTCACGTCGACCCGACAGGACACACATACCTGGATGATGTGCCGCCGCACTTGTCTCCTTGAAGCTCGTTATTCTGTGGGGGCTAGAAACATGACGTGTCTTCGCTCTAGCATCTGGAATCGGTCGACAACAACCGTCACTCCGGTGGGCATCACCTGGGCAGGAAGAGGCAATGCAACGAAATCAGCATGTGAAGGAGATCCGACTATTCGGCTGCTTGGTTCCGTGTCCGTTGTTGCGCCGATGTTCCTCGTCCAGACAGCTACGTCACCCATCGTTAGATGAATACCACTCCCTCTTATACGTTCCATGATAATCTTTAGCGGCTGAGTCCCCGTCTTAGTTGTGGCCCAATCTTCCGGCAACGCTTTAGCAGACACCCATTTGTCCACACATATCGTCGACGCTGTCCGTACAGCTCCTTCATATAGAGGCCTCTCGTTCTTGTATCCCTTAGCGTTGCTGTTAGCCACACTTTTGCCACAGCTCTCATTGGTCGAAGCATCTAGGCTGGATATTGGCGAGTGCTGATAGTTCTGTATTATCAGCCTCTTACAGGGAGGGCGGACATGCCCTTCAGTCGCTTATCCCGTCTGTTTCTGATACTTAATCTCATTCCGACAGAGAGCAGCACTTCAACTTCTACATCATAGTATGGTTGGTTTCTTGGCATCGTGCTGTTCTTCGCCTCTACGACTTTTTGGGGTTTGGTACCCTTGGTAACCTCGAGAACCCAAGGTTCCGAGCCGTGCCGTCATCAAATGGCCAACCAAAAAGCAGAATTAGCTGCGGTCCTGTCAGAGCTGCCTATTCATACTTCACAGCGCGGGACGCTTGGCTTAAGTAGCTATCAAGACCAAAATCCGCGCCGAATGTTGATGGAAAGAATAGAGTCATAAAATAACAGGCACTGGACATTTTTGTGTGCGGCGTACTTGGGCATGATTCCCGTCGTGTTCGTCGTCGTCGTAGCCGGATAGATGCCATGTACCGGACCGGGAGGATCAAGAAGGAACATGATTTCGGGATGACAGTACATAATCGGACACACTGGCGGTCCTAGTTCCCTTGGAGAGATACAGTCGCGACCTCGGAGCCAGGCCACGGAGACGGGGATGTCGAGCAGATTAGAAACGCTGGTATCCCAACAGCTTCCAGTATTCGCCCATTCGAACCGATGCTATTTTATTAGAATAACGGGGAAACCCTGTAGGCACAAAACAACACCCCAGCCTATCAATTCGCATCGTGATCTAATAAGCTGTGAGGCATCGATTGCTTGATACTGCTACGATTAATGACTTAACATAGGGGCTGGCGTGCCCGCGTCGTCTCACGTCGCTCCGGGGTACATGTCTATAGCTTGCCATTGGACCTCGCATGACGCCGTTCCCGCCTATCTATGTGCATTTAAGCTGTAGACACGAACAGCGGGACAATTGGCGTAATTGTAAATAGACGACGGCCAGGGAAAAGAGGTGGCAGTTGTGGTTATAGCCGTCCCCCAACGTGAACATCCACCGTGTGCCGCTAAACCTCCGGAATTGACCTTATGCTCGATCCTTGAAACACTGAAATATCGCTACGTGCATACACCATCTCAAGTGTTGGTTGCTACCTCGAGAAGACGCGTTCCCTATCGTTAATGTACATTGTTCATAGCGAACAAAAACTCCGAACGCCTCCTCTACGTGGGTTCTATTTCCTCGCCTGGCCCGAATTGCGAGACCCAATGTTTTTCTATGAATTAGGGTCCAGATGGATATCGAGGTGATGTCGAATATTTCCAAATACAGACAACCGAGAACCAACGAGTAGCCTGGAGCCACAGGTACAGATGAGCGCTCAGCGGACAAAGCAGGTCTGTGTATCGCCTCCCGCTACTTCGTCCCAAGACCGGGCACCTTCTCACACGATAGCAAGGGTATCACACTTCCAACCACACCTTTGCCGAAGATGAGCGGCTGTGGCTTTGTCGGAGACATTATAGGCAATTCAATGGTTGTTAGGTTGCCATATGCCCGCGCCGAGGGGTTTACTGATGCCGAAGCCGACGCCGACCGCTGCCCCAACGATTAGAGCCACGATCAGTACCTTGACAATTATTCTGTTTCGGTTGCTGAGGCGAGCCATGCACTGACAGGACCTGTTGTTGATTTTGGCTGCTCGTGCTTTCTGTCGCCAATGCTCTTGTCCGGGCCAAACAGTGCAATCCGGCTGGGGGATGGTTGCGGTGGTTGTTTTGTTCAGGTGGTCGGAGGATCTAATCGGCATCATGGCCTCGGCGTCGGTGTCAAATCCATTGGGGGCTGATACTGAGCACGGTGTCGATGTGCTAGAATTATGGCGGCTCGTTTCCAGGTTCCTCTCGTGCGCGGGAGAAAGGCGTTGGGTGGAAATCGTCAACGGGCCAAATTCCAATAGCTTATGTTCGTCTACTCCGGTCGAAGCCATTGCCCAGCGATATGTGAAGCGGTGCTGACGCGTGCTAGGGATGTCGGATCCGGAGGAGAGATTTAAGATGCACGCGTGCCCAATTTCGGTGCCCAAGGCTCGAAGTGGACGAATAGCTGACGAGGTACAGGAGGGAAGTGCATATAGACTTATTCCTCGCTGTTCCGGAAAGTAGGCTTGGAGGTTAGGTCTATGCTAGGAAGGGTTTGAGAGAGAGAGGGAGGGGGAGAGGGTTAGTAGGACGAAAAGCTCCAGGCCGAATAATGCCTAGACCAGCAAGACGTCGCCAAGGGGGTAAAAGCCGTAGTCAACAACGTCTACCCTTTCAGCACATGGGAGGAGGGGGGGGGGTGGAAAGAGGGAGAGAAGGAGAGGGAGAGGGAGGGAGTTGTGCGCGCGCGCTGGATATGTTTCGGGATGGGGATGCTGGAGCCGGTTGGGATAGCTCGACGGATGGCGTTAATTGCCCCGGAATCAAGGCTCGGGAGGGAGAACGCGTGCGGTCCCGTCGCCTTGTCAAAAGAAGTCAGGCCGGTAAGTAACCATAACCTTGACATGTATGGCGATACTGCGGAAATGGGCTGCGTGCGCAGCACAGGGACTTGGCGGATGCAGGAACGTGTGCCTAGGAAACCGTATAGTTGAGGGTAGAAACGATGTCTCCCTAGAGATGTGCCTACGTGAATAAGCCATGTAGTGAGTGCAAGGGTGGTCTTGGACCGAGAGAAAGAGAGAGAGATACGCAGGGTAGGATCTTAGTGACTAGAACCTCCTGACCGGGGGGGTAGAGGGGGATCTTGCTGCTATGGGCGAGACGGAAGAGAGAGACGATATATTAATTACCCTTGACGTGATGCGGCCCAGAGGACAGAGTAGGAGATGAAGAACGAACAAGCGAACAATAAACCGACTTCATAGATGAGCCGGACGAGCTAGCAGATAAGAAGGTAGGCAGGCACAGTGACGAATGAATAGAGGGACGGGCAAAACGATTACGCAGCTTCAAAGAGGAATAGAGGTGATCTCGTATGTCATGTTGTACGTCGTATATCGTACCGAAGAACGAGCAGCACAGAACCTCTCAGCTGGCTGAATGAGGGCGCCCATGAAATGATATAGAGAGGAACGTAAATAAACGCGGGTGTAAGGCTGGTCCGGCCTGCCTTGGCATATTATGCCTGGGGCCCACTTTTCAGTAGCTTCTCAGCGTCTGTATTAGATGATATCTGCTACTAGCGTTGTGATTTTAGTTAATTATTCTAGTCTACTTTCAAAATAAAAATAAAATAAAAATTTAACAATGAATAAACTAACCTAAATATTTTTTTTTAATAAAATAAAGATGTTTAAATTTGAAAAAAGAAATTTAACTAAAATAATTAAAAGAAAATAAAATGTTATTATTATTTTTAAAAGAAAAGGGAGTTTTTAACTTTCTTTAAAACTTAATATATTGTAGTGGTGCGGTGGATCTAGGCCACGTAGCCTTTTGGATGTGTATTTATATGAGTCACGCACTTATATTTTCATCAGTTAGACTTAGACCTGTAGCCATCACGACAGCCATCACAGGTTACAGCATTTACTCGTTTCTTGCCATGCCTTTCTAGCTACCTTATTGCTTTCCCGTTTCTAGTCCTTTTCCCAGCTGCCGTTCTCAGCTGGCCGATTAACCGATTCCAGCTGTTTACAGCTGTGATTTTGGTTAATCGGCACTGGGCCAGTTGTTGGCAGTTAGGTAGCCGTTTTCGTACCTTTATCACAGCGTGCCCACGCTGCTCCTGTTCACTACGTAGCCTAGTCCCACCACACCACTATAATATTTAAGCTAATAATAAAGGAATAAAAGAAATAACTATTTATAAAGGAGATATTTTTCGTTTTATATAAACATTAAAGAATATATTAATAAGATCTCTTTTCTTACAGCTAGTTACTTTAAAAGTAGTCGTCGCTGGTTATATAGCCGCCTACCGGCTATATGGCCGGTATCTAGATTTTAAAAAGGCGCCGGTTACGTAATAAGAGTCGGGGGAATGAAAATCTGTAAAGTTACTATATAGTATTCGTACTATTCTGCTTTTTCTAATAGTACCTATTAGTACCTCCTCTAACCGTGGCTCCTAATACTAGAGAAGAAAAAGAGACCTTAAGGAAGTAATAGTACTTTAAGAGGCGGAGGGAGTAGCCCCGGGGACAGATAGCGTATCCCGAGAGACAGAGGTAGTACTTAAGGATACGATACGTATCTTAAGGCACGGAAAGGAAACGAGTTAGGTTATTATTACCAGACGTTAAAGAAAAGGAAGGTAAAGTATCTTTTTTTAAATAGGAGGAGGATTTTATATTTTAAGCTGTACTTATTATAAGGCCTTAGCTAACGTTAGGATATAGTATGTACTTAGCTCCTTAATATAATGCTAGTAGTTATAAGTACAACTTATAATAGTATACTTTTTGTTTTTTCTTCTCGCTTAGCTTTAAATCGTTAATATATGACTTTTATTTAGCGAATTGCTCCTGAAACCGTAATAGATAAATCCTTTTAAGCAGGCTATACGAACTTTTAACTAATTCAAACGCGTATGTGAGCTTTCAGCTAAGAATAATAATGTTTTTTCAAAATTTGTAAGGGTATTTATGAGTATGTTTAACTCTATAATTTATTAGCATGATAGAAAATCTAAGGTATCATAACTATATTCCTGATAAAATAATATAATCTTAATTAATTTAGCTTTCTAGAAAGGCTACCGGGCTTATACCTATAAGGTAAATCAAGAGAGTTACGTAGGTATTAAGATTACTTTACTAAAAGTAATAAAATACAAAAAATAATTTAAATCAATTAATTATTTAAAATGCAAGAAAATAAATAAAGGTAATATAAAGAACTTTTATATAAATCTTAAAAAGCTATAGACTATATTATATATGTAAATTAATGGCTTAGTTAAGTAAACAAGTCACTAGAAAAGAAGTAGGCATACATATATAGATAGCTCTCTACGTAATATTCTTTTTATAATTACGCTTTTATAATAGCTGCTGTAATAGTATAGTGAGACTAGACTATATAGCCTTTTTGATAAGTATTCATATAAATCTCACACTTAGATTCCCGTCGTTTAACCTTAATCTTATATACCTTTATAGTAAAGAATACTACTCCTTTGAACATGCTTTTTATTAACATCGCTATTTAGTTTTGTTTCTTTTTTCTAACTACGTTTTCAACTAGCTGATCAACTAATTATAACTGTTTATAACTATAATCTAGTCTGATTAGCACTAGGCTAGTTATTAGCAATTGCCTAGCTATCGTATATCTACTTTCACAGTGTGTCCACGCTATTTCTCTTTACTATTTAATATTAACAATAGCTATAAAAACTAATAAATCTATACTTATTTTAATACTTTTAAATAATAACTATTAAAATTGAAAAAGTCATTATGTTTATTATAAATAATAACAATAGCGTTTAATATAAAGCAAAATAAAGTTTTTAAATTATTAAAAATATATTTATATTTTTTAATATTTTATATATAATCTTTTTAGGTATTGCTAATAAATCAATATATATATGTATATATATTTAGATTTAAACTTAAATATATTAATATAAAATAAATAATACTCATAATATACTATTAATCTTGACATTATAAAAAATATATATATACCTACTATAGCTTCCTAACTACCTAGCGATGCTGTCTTATTAATTTCTACAATGTATAAAGCTAAAGCTTTGTCTCTACCTAAGGAGGTACAGTGGCCTGCTTAAAGCAATACAGGTACGTAGTATCATCTACCTCGGCCCTGCAATCATGGTACGTGTCCCATTCGTCCCCTTTCTAGTTCCGCTTGCTTAGCTAAATATATCATTCTGATAATTGCCACGAGAAATCAAGCATAGCTAGCTGACCCTAGTCAAGAACATGGACGGTCGTTATACATACGTACACATGCAACGGGCACGCGACGCCGATTTGTTTGAGGACTTCTGCAAGGACAAGCTACCCGATGATGAGATCTACGTGCCACCTCATTACCAACCCATCAATCCGGAGGACGAGGATGATGTCGTTCCTGATCAACATGCCGCCTTTGGAATCCAGAAAGCCACTCAGCACAACAAGGAACCGGCCTGGAAAGATCTTGGTCTAAACGAGCTGATGAGGAAAGGCCCTGCGTCAGGAAAGGTTGGCGATGGGATCATATTTCGAAGGAACGGGTACCAGGGCCTGCCACGGTGAGGACATGCCACGTGTTGGCAGTGAAATGGAGGAAAGGAGTACAAACGGCTTCCACCGCGAGCAAGTTCATGGAAGAGGTTAGTTTCGGGTAGCGGGAGCATCATGATAAATCGGCATGAGTAGCTTCAACCTCTGAAGTATTGCCCATGATCAACAGTGGATCAATTGTAATGGTATCGGGCATGATCCCATACCACTAACCTTGTCCCTTCCTTCACAATATTCTGTGATATGCCGCACCGCCCACAAAATAGACCGAGCCCAACTCCCCCGAATTGTACCGAACGCCATGCAATGCCCCATCAAGTTGCCCCGTGGTCCTCTTTCGACGTGGTAATTCACACATACGTTATCCCTTCCCTAGGTAGCCTTCCCTTTGCATAACCTCGGGGACGAATTTGACTAGAAAGACAGTCCGGCCTGGCCACATCTCTCCCTCCTCCTGCTTTCCCACGCTGTGTGCAGTGACCCTGGCAGGAAAGGCACAGCCGTCACATACGCCCTCGATGATGCCGGCGACATAGGCAGCGCAGTTGAGTTGGCTTAAGTCCTTCGGTACGCTGATGTAGCGGTTAACAAGGGGTTCGTTATCGATGATCATATACTCGTCCGGTTTGTTCGGGTCAGACGATTTTTCAAGTCCGTCCGCCGCCCGCCTGAACAAGTGCTGCCACACGTTTATCTTTATGAAATGCAGGAGGGTAATGATATTCAGCGGCCGGGACTGCGAGCGTGGCGGTTCGCGACAGAGGAGAAGATCAAGGAGCTTAACTCCGATGGGGTGGCCTTGTACGTTGAGACTATTTCGTAAGATAGGATCGCATTAGCAAAACCAGTAAGAGACTGTTGCGCTTTGGTGTCTCTCCCTCTCTTCCGTGCCACCCACCTACCTACACACTCACCGCTTCTCTAAATCTTGAATGCTCTCAATCTTCTTTGATGCATAGCCGACCATCTCGGAGAATAAGTATGCAAAGCTCGCACCGCTGAGCTCCGAGGCCTTGGCTCGGTTTAAGGGCCGATGATATATTGTCTTGCCATTCGTTGGGTAACGCAATCCAGGCTGGTCTTTGCCGCTTGCCTTTACGAGTTGCAGATTTGACATTGCTTCTCTCGAGTAGGTGCTGGTAACTAAGTACGGTAATAGATCTTAGAGAAGAAATGAGGAGGCTCGAGGATGGGCGGCCAATTATGGAATTATAGAGTCATAGATTCACGCCCCCTAGTGCAATTTATAATATTTTAACAGCACTATGATATAGCATTATATATATGTGAAATTAAATAAGTAACAGAGACAAAAAGTCTAAAAATAGTCTTATAATTTGGATTTAATTAAAAAGTATTATACTATTATAAAAAGTTTCAAATTTTTATTAATTACTATATAAATTTATATATATTATTGAAATATTTATCAACTTATATTAACTTGTTTTATAGAATATTAAGAGCAATCTTTTCAAAAAGAAAAGGGTAAATATATATAAGTATTATATATATAAATATATATATAATTAACGATTTTATAGAAAAGTAATAAGGTATATATTTATTTAAAGTGCTGGTAATTAAAATAATGTTACGTAACTAGTAAGAGCTACGTATAGCTTACTAGGTTACGCGTAAAGGAAGTAATGAAATACGGATAAGAAGGTATATATTAACTAATTAGGAAGGAGGAAATATACTAAAGAGTATGGAGTAATCTATAGATATATATAGAAGTGCTTATTTAGTTTAAGTAAGTTAGGTAGTTCCTACTAGGGAAGTATCCCTACGTAATATACCCCCTAGTTAAGTTTACGAAAGTAAGGTTAACTATAGTTCTTTACTCGCGATAGTGGCTTAGGGGGTTACTCCTTAGTCTCGCTATACCTTATTAAGGTTAATCGATTACTAGGTACCTTATCTCGGGCTTTCCAAAGTCCCCCTATCCGTATATACTCCGGTTATTATTAATGGTATTTTCTCCTAAGTTATATATTCTTCGTACCCCTTACTTAGTATTTTATAGTCTATTATAAATGAAAATAATTACTCGTATAATTACTTACGTAATTACTCGCTTTCAATTAAGCGATAGTTAGTTATATATATAATATAGTAGTAGTTACTCTAGTGTTAATATTAGGATTTAATCTCCTTAGTTACCGTCGCGCGCGCTTACGTTACTTCCGTTAACCGATTCTACCGTTTCTTTTACGAAGGCGGTTAAGTATAAATATATCTAGGATATCTCGCTTTCGAATTAATCTTGTTTCTCTTTCTTTCTTTCCTCCTTAGGTTATTTATCATAAGTATATACTCCTAACTATAATTAAGTAATTCTATTATGTCGCGTAAAACGTAAGCGCCTACATTTACGCTTTGCAGTATGTAGGCTTATATAGGCTGGTTTAATTACTACGTAACATATTAATTACGTGATCATAAGTTAATATAATTAATAGTATTTCGTTAATTACTATTATAAGGTAAGTTTACTTTATCCGTAGTTTACATAAAGCGTAACTCGCGTATTATACAAATCGTAATAAACTTTAATTAAGCGACCGTAAAATAGAGATTAATTTATCGCGGTGAGGCTTATCATTTATAATTAATATATTACTTTTAATATTAAAGTAACCTAGGGTAATAAAGCGATCGTTAATTACTTTAGGTTAATAAGTAGGAGATTATTCGAGATAATCTATTTATTATTTATTCGTTATTTACCGGTAGTAAGGTAGTACCGTAATTAACGATTTCTTAAGATATCAGATACTTTATAATTATGTCAGATTATATGATCGCTTCAGAGCTTTATAGCTTCGCTCGAGGAACGCATTATTAGTTTCCTCGACGCAAGTTTTTAGATACCGAACCTTTGAGGATACCGTACCTAAGCCGGTAGCTATGCGTAAGTTACGTATACGGTTAGTAATATTAAACCTTCGGTCAGTAATTACGTTCGCAGTAGTAATAGGTTCTTCACTTCCGGATCCGGGAACCTAATAATTACTTAACCGTTTAAAGACCTTTTTATTAATCAAAATATCGATATAATTATCGCTAACCCCTTTAAGCGACGTAACCTAGCCTTTATTACTCGCGGACCTTAAGGTATTACTTCTCGAGCTATCGAGTTATTTACCGAGTCGTTTTCTGAGTATTAATCCCTTAAGGAAGATTCCCTTTTCTTTAACGAAGAGGTAGAAGAAGAGAACTCCTTCCCCGTTACGTTTATTTGTAATATCCGCTCTTAAACTCGAGTTTGTTAGGTTAATTCCGCCGGTCGTAATATAGTTATTACTCCGGCCTTTTAAACAGTGGTTATTACTACGACTCCTATTCGTAATAATATTCTTAAATAGGAACGAGGACGAGGACGTAATCGTAGTACTCTATCGGTTTCCGAAACTACCTCTAACCTTATTACTTCCTCTAATCTCGCCGTTCCGACGGTTACTTTTATAACTCTCGTCGCGCTGGCTACTCCGGCTTTTATTATTACGTTAGGAACTACTTTTACTATCCGGAAACGAAAGTATAAGGTTCGTCGTACCGCCCTTTATTTAACTTATATTCGGAGTACGGCTTAAAATAAGTTGATTAAAAAGTATTTTAATTCTTTTTAAAGTATTAATTGTTATTAGTGGTATTCGTTCGGTTACGTTTACGTTTCGTTATAGGTATTCTTATCCCCGTACGTCGAGGTCTTAATTTAACTTTACGTAAGGCCGACGCTTTAATACTTTTAACTACCTACTTTATAATCGTTCGTATCGAGTCCTTGGTTAACGTATAAGCTTTATTCCGCCTTCTTTAATACTCGTTAATGTTACTTATAAACCCTTAAACTTGCAATGATAATAAAGGAATTACTTATTCTTTATTAATAAGGAAAGAACCTATTAACGGTTCCCGAAACAGTAAAGTTACGACGAGGAGTAACTAATTCTGGTTAATTTATTTAGTTAAACGCGAGTCCTTTAACTGCTAAACTATCAATTACCCCCGCCGGACCTAGCTTTATAACTATCGATCCTTTTATTACTTTAATTAACGCAAGTAACGTTTCCGTTAATTTATTAACCGTAATATAAGGAGTAGCTTCATCGATTATTATTCTAGAGTAAGAATTAAATTTAGATATAGAGGATGTTAAAGGCGTAAGTAAGGGAGAGTAATCTTCCGAGGACGAAGAGTAATCTTTTAAGGAAGTAATATCTAAAGTCGCTCCGAACCCTCTCTATATCTTATTCGAAGAGTATTTCTATAAAGTATTATACCGTTACGTTAACTTATTATACGAGGAGATCCTAAAGTATTAAAACGAAGCCTATTAACGTTCGTATATTGAAGTGGTACGGTAAGACGTACCCTCTTGATGCATTACGTAATACGCTACGATAGGCCTTATACCTATATAGAGTAACCACAGCTCCCGTAAGTACAGGCCATGCCATGCTTATCATTTAGTTTATTACCTAGCCAGATTATTATCTTTGCTATTTTTACCTTAATTAAAGATTCGTTTTTATTATTAGATTAGTCGTTTTCTGATTAGTATATCTATTTTAATTATAAGCGCTTAAGTTACTTCGTCGTACTGCTATAGCCGAATAAGTAACTTTTACGTTTTACCTCTTTTCTTTCCTTACCTCTTATATCTTCGAGCTAGCGACTACTATATCTCTACGACCAAGAGGCGTAGATAAGATATGATAACTATATTAGATTTCTTATCTTTCGATTAATATAGTAATACTTATTTTGTCTATGTCACATAGAGAGCTACCTATATATGGCTTCCTACTTCTTCTCTAGTTACTTGCTTACCTAATATAACTCTTAACTCGCTTATATAATATAGCTCGTAGCTCCTTATTCTCTTGTTACGTAGTAATTAAACCAGCCTATAGAAGCCTACATACCGCAAAGCGTAAATGTAGGCGTCTACGTTTTACGTAATAGTTATAAGCCCGGTTAACGCTCCAAGGTACTGTGGCTTAGTGGTTAGTTCCTTTAATTGCGCGTATATAGCGCAGCAAGCGTAGCCCCTTGCGCGGAGCCCCAGAGCTAGACTAGAACTAGCAGTAAGGCGTTACGCCAAGAGGTAGGGGGTTTAATTCTCTACGAGGGGCCCTAAAAAGGCGGTCAGACGTAGCAGTTATTACCTACCTACTAAGGTGTTTAAAAACTAGGGGGTATATTACGTAGTAATTAAACCAGCCTATATAAGCCTATATACCGCAAAGCGTAAATATAGGCGTCTACGTTTTACGTAACATATCTATATATAGGTAGCTCGTATCTCCTTTATTCATCTCCTTCCTTTTTAGATAGTTAATTCACCTTCTTTTTCCTACCTTCCATTACTCCTAAGAAGTAACCCTAGTACCTACGTAGCTCTCCCGATCTACGTAATAGTTATAAGCCCGGTAGTTCTTTTAAGGAGCTAAGTTAATTAAGGTTTTACTATATAAGCTTTCGAGTAATTTTATTATTTATCTCTATCTCTTTAATCTCTCGATTAATCGTTTTTCTCTTAAATACCGTTTTCGTCTTCCTCTCTAGTAATATATCTATAGTAACTACTAATACTAGCGGAAACTTCTCTATTAAAAAGCTACCTGTTAATATTAACCTTTGTAACTTCGATAAATATCTACGATAGTTCATTACTTTCTAGAATTACGTTAAGTAGTTTAATATTTAAAAGGATGTTAATCATAATACGAACGACTATAAGTTAAGCTCGGCGATACTCCTATCGCTCGAAGAATTTATTACTTAGAAAAAGAAACGAGTAAGGAAGTAGTACCTCGAAGCTCTTTACGAGTAGGTTAAAAAAGATCCTAAGACTCGTAAGAAGGAGCCGAAGGCTTTAACTAATAACCTACGTTACCTTTTTATCGAAAAGTATAAGTAATTATTTAAATAAAGTCGCTCTTAGGAGTTTTAAGTTATTATCGCTAGTAAAAGCTACCGAGCCTTTTATTATTAAATTATATCCTCCGTTTTTATTAACTACCTCGAGCTCGTTAATATATAGCTTAAAGCTTAAGGACTTAAGCCGAACGTTTAAAATACCGGAAGATTATTCCGCGATTACTT